TATCAAAAATGTGAGTTAATAGAAACATAACTTGGTAATTTAATGCCTTGGAATTGGGCCTCTGTCTCTTTAAGAAACTCCTGCTCTGTCTGAAACTCCAGCTTCAGGAAGTCGTCACCACATGGCTCTTCTATTAACCCTCTAACAACATTTTTACCAGCGTTGCCTCATCAGTAGCTTGTCTGATGAGCTCAATACATGCGACGTTCCACTAAGTGTTTGCCAATTACTGCTGGCTAGTCTGTAGGAGCTGAGTGGGGAGACTTAAAACTATTCAAAAAGATTGCATTTATTGCTTCCCTTTATTAAAACACACCTTCCTTTACTGCCTTTGATTAATTATGAGTTGTCACTTATGTTTTATTAGTCTTTGTTGGATGTCTATGTTTTGCTTTGCTTTTATTTTTATTTTAATTTGTATGTACAACCCTTTGGCAAACTTGGCTCGCAAGTCAAGAATGGCACAAATCTGGTTTAGCAACAACAGGTGGTTGATGTAGCTAAGTGCAGGTGTGCAATTTTCACTAATGGAAGTAATTAAAAAAAAAGAAATTGCATTAACCATGTTTTTTTGCATCTAATTTAATTTGATAGTAAACAGGACTTTGACTGAAAAGCAAACTTGGGCACACATATTTATGGAACTTGGCTAAATAAAACAAGAATGAAACATTCTGTTCTTGTTGCTGAAAAAATACGCACACAAGGAAACTACAAAACATTGAGGATATTGTGGGATTTTTTTAATTTTTAACAGGCAAACCTGTGGAGACCCTGGTAATGTTTCAGATCTACAGTCATTTACAAATCCCTCTCCTACGTAGAGGCTACTTGGCTTGTTTCAATAGAATATTGTTTGTTTTTGTTTATGACTGAAGAAAAGAAAAAAATTAAAAAGCAATTAGGATTTGAACATTTCTGACCGCGGTGGTGAACAGATTGGACACCACTGACCTAGATCAAGAGTTATTTTCCAAATGATTCAGAAATTAGAATAAGCTTGAAACTGAACATTACCATTTCCTTCCAATCTGGGGTCACAAAATGCATAAATATTTTTATTTCCAGCTTAATAACCATGTCAATATTTCCACTAAGCAGAGCTCAGTGTTAAATGTTACTCAGCGGTCTCATTAGTCATAATGAGTGAGGTGTCGATGTTGACACGTTGGTGTTTCAGGATATGAGTCCATGAACTCATTTCATCGTTACACTGTCAGGGGTGAGGGATTCCCCCGTTTCCTCCATGTAGGTGCAGAACAGGTGAGGAACTGTGGTGAGTGAAAAACTCCTATCAGTCTGACGTGATTCGCTTCAAGGCTGAGCGTTGGAGTACGTTTGCATGTTTCTCGTCGTAGGACACACTGAAAGTTTCCACCTAATTACAGTTATGCCACTTTATTACCACTTCCCCGGTTTCTCCCTCCTTCATTACAGAAATCAGAAAAGCACACCCAGAATCCCGGCGACACAAAGCACTTGGTGGGGGGGAGGGAAGGAGGGAGGGAGGGGGGAAGGATAACCCCTAAACCGTCCCGACGTGTCTCAAATTCAAATTCCTACTGGCATTCCCGTTTCCCTCGTCTCTCGGCTCAGGTGTCAGGAAATAACGCGGAGTGCTCTGCTCCGGCCGCGTTATTCCGGGTATGGAAGGTAAACACAATGAGGAGCAGGTGGTTCAGGGGGATTTCTGCACAGACTTTTCTGTAATGTCTGGTGGCAATTAGGTGTAATACAGGATGTCAAAGCCTGCAGCCACTGGCTTCACATATCTGCTGCTTAGTGTTAGCTTTACAGATTCACTCTGGCGTACGGCTTCGGCTGCTCAGCCCAGGGCCAAATTAGCGTTACCTCCTTTCCCCTTTGTGGCAAAGGGCACAGCCAAGAGAGAAACTATGGGAGAACATGGAGAAACTTCAGCCACAGTCAGAATAGATTTGTGACTCACTGATGTTGAGCGTGAGGTGAACAAAAAGTGTTGTTCATCATGGAACTAAATCTGTTATCCAAAAAGCATTAATGTAGTAATAGAGCCAGGCCAAGAAAAAATATAGTAAAGATAGAGTAATAGAGTAAAGTCACAAAAAACACAAAAATAGTTGTAATAGTCTGTAATTTTACTAGAAAAAGGTTATAATAAAATGAGAATAAAGTTGTATGACAAAAGTAGTAATAATGCAAAAATATGTTATAACGTAAATAAAATCGTAATAAAGTGGAAATAGTTGTAATTTTACCAGAATAGTCACAACATTATTAGAATAAGGATGTAATAAAACAAGAATGAACTCATGATAAAAGTCACAATGATGCAAAAATAAAATAATATGGGAATTAAACCATAATAGTACCAGAACATTTATGTTATTAGGAAAGGGTAATAAATTAGGAGTATGGTGTAATTTTATGAGAATTAATCCAAGAATAAATGTTTAAAAATTATAAACATCTTGTGATGATACTTCAGTATCAGCTTTGTGAGGAAGGAAATACTCTGAAATTGTATTTCTAGATAATTATCACAGCTTTGCTCTCGTTAAAAGGACTTTGCTTGTAATTGTCTGACATTCTTCAGTTCATATTGCTTATTGGTTTTCAAAAAAGTACACAAGAAAACACTGACCACTCTTTATCTTCTTTTTCCCAAATCTACCCAGGCCTCAGACGCGTTTTGAGTCCATGCAAGAACTTTGTGGAATATTTATTTCACAGCATCGACTAAATTTTAAGAAATTAGACGAGCCCTTCAAATATGTTGGAGAATTAAGAAAGTCTTAATGTGGATGGAAATGATAAAAAAAAAGTCTGGTGGATTAAACAACCTATCACTTTATTATTATTGTGACATTATATTTTCAATACACAAAGTTCTAAAGACTTCATACAGGATGTATTAAATTCCACAAGTTATTTTTCATCAAACCCTTTCCTAATCTAAAACTGGATTTGATAAAATGTTTCTTCTTTTATTATATATATATATATATGCAGATAAATAATTAGAAAAGATGACTGAAAGATCTTTAACATTCACAACAAACTGTAAAACTCTAGGTGAAAAAAAAAAGAGCCTCTTCAGGCTTTAAATCTCAAACATTCATCAAAGTGACGATTATCCACAAATTTCATACACATGTTTCTGAAAAACTCAGATCTTCTTGATGTAAAGCTCCATTAGTCACAGTGTAAGAAAGTGTACACATTCACCAAGGCCTGCTTGAGTAAATAAAGGATTTCAAGAAAAATTACCTCCACTGTGTAGGCAGTGAATCATTTCTAAAGGCTCCATTCGCTCCCCGACATAAATAGTCAGACTGCAGAATTCATCAATTTCCAAAGATCCCATAAACCATCGGTTGGAGGTAAACGGCCATCATAGGAGCTTCTGTAGTTCAGGAAGTGTTGCTGCATTAAAGGCGACAGCCAAAGAGGAGTTAGGCTGGGCGTCCACACCCTCACTCTCATCCATATCTCAGTAAAATCTCCTCTGTCACAAAGGTGACAAAGCAAAGCTAATGGTTTGGTCTAAGTGCAATTATTAAACATTTTAATAAAGTGGAATTATTTTGTTACACATGACGAAATCTGAAAATTTCACAAAACTTTCATGTTTCGTCACGTTACAACCACAGTCTTCAACGGATTTTATTGGGACTCTATGAAATAGACTAACACAAGGTGTAAGAAAAAAAAATCAAATCCTAATAAAAATCTGACAAGTGTGGCATTAATTTGTATTCAGCGTCCCTGTCAAAATTGTGTTATATAAATTTTTTATGCGCGTTTTGTAGTGTCGGGGAAAATTTCAATTTTCAAAAAAAAAGAAAAAAAAAAGGTTCCACTTAAGGTGGTTTTTGGTTTTTCAAAAAACCCCCAAAAAAAACAAAAAAAAAAAAACGTCAATGCGCTGTTAACAGTTATTGGGGAAATGGAAACATATTTGTCAAATATGTATAGCTAGCTGGTTTCTGACTTCTACATCTTATTACAGCCGTGCTTCACGTCAACATCTGACAAATTAGCCTGTCAAACAAGGAACGTCAAATAGATATGAACTTACACCTTTACTGTTGAATGTCTCAATCTTTTATCAAACATTCCAGATACGGAGACTCAGCTTTGTCACTTGATTTCCAATCACAGCAAAAATCAGCTGAATTCCATGAACAAGGTAACCGGATGTGCTACTTTTTTTTTTTTTTTTTACATGTCACATGATGAACTGCATTGAAGTTTGTAACAATTTGTGGAAAAGTTAGAGGAAATAAAAGTCCAAGGCACAGTAATCATGATCATCCTGATCCACACTGGCTGCATGGAAGGCCATTGAAATGTGTTTCTGGATCGGCGTAAACCACAGAAGGAAGTTGGGAGTTGATGTCCTCCTAAACGTGAAAATGCCAGAACGCCTGTAAGGATGTCAGCACCAATCCATACGAAGGCAGTGTAAGGAGTGTGCCTCAGCGGGGTCTCACATGGTCTGCCACGCCCCTGACTGAGCCGTGTGAAAGTGATTTGACACGCCGCCAGGTACAGTGGGAGGGCATCTGCACAGCCTGACGGAGGGGCTGCTGACCAGGTTCCCAAATGTTTGGCAGGACCGCTTTATAACCATCTCAGAGCGATAAACTCAGGTTACAGGTCACCTGCTCTCCATTGGATACAATCAAGTGGCATTTAGTCTGAACAGACATGGGCTGTTATTGCAAACATATGTGCGACAGAGAGGGGAGTGTACGTGTGTGTTTGGCCTTGAATCTAACACACTGCTAGGACCATTTTCCCAGCACATGCGCTGTGGAGACCTACTGCTCCTCATGAGGTCCAAAGTCTGGGCCCCATAAGAAGAAGAGCTGTTTTTGAGTAAGGTTTAGGACTAAGATGTGAACTGAGTTTAGGTTACGTTTAGGATTAGGTTTGCACTGGTAACGGTTAGGTTTAGGGCAAAGGTATCATCAGGTTTTTTTTACTGATATCTAAAACATTCAGAGTGAAACAACAGGACCATGCGGTCTGCTTCAGTGGCCCTGACACCCGATCTGTCAATCACGACAAAAAACATCAAATTGGATCGGTTCCATCTTTTGTTGTGAACTGACAAAATGTGAAACATTTCAAGGGGAATGAATAGCTTTGCAAGAAACTTTAACTTTGGATTCTTCTTTTGTTTCAGCAAGTACACGTCTGGTATTCAGTTTGACTCACTAATGTCTGTAGCCAACACCACAACCACAATATTTATTGTGCTAAAATTGCCAAGTAATTATCAAGATCTGGAAGCTAGAAACTCTAGCTGTTAGATGATGAGATATGCTTGATATAGTCCAACGTTTGGAAGGAAAAACTGGCGCACTAATTCTCAAATTAGGATCTTTAAATATCAATTCTGCCAACCTGATTAACCAGTGAACTGTTTCACTTAAGTTTGGATTGGACAACAGTTTTGTTAAGAATATAACCAAAGCTCCATGAAACACTGTCCAAACGGAAAGCTAGACAAAGGTTCAGCCAAACCACAGTCGTCTTACCCTGCAACCCAACTGTGAATCTTGACAAATCGGGACATCTCAAATTTGTTTCAAATGAACCAAGATCTTCTCAAACATAAGCAGAAGATGTGCAGAAAAGCAGAAAGTAAAAAAATGAACAAAAGGCAAATTAGGCAAGAGTGGAGTTTAGACATTGGACACCTGAATCATTTGTTGGCTTTCATCATTTTAGCTCAAAAAGAAGATGCCATGATTTCTTTCTGCCACGTTGCATTTTGACTGGAGATGCATGTAGAAGTCAGATGATGATCAAAATGATCATCATCAACTGTTTCAGCCAGTAAGAAACTAAAAAATGCTATCTTTTATCAATTAGAGACCACACCGTACCTAACTGCTAAAAAAAAAATACAGTTTGTAAATTTATATGATTCAAGCCTGAAATATAAATATGGCTGAATGCAACAACCCTTTCCTGTTATATCTTTTGAAGGGAAAATGGTATTCCTATTTAGGTTATATGGAGTTTACAGTTAGACTAAGCCATCATAATGCAATTAGTTAATAAAATGATTTGCTTGAAATCCTTGTCCTGCATTTGATCATTATCAGAATCAACTACCTGAAGTCCAGTCACCAAATGATTTAGTATTTGTGTTTTTATTATGAATTTGCTCAAAACTTTATCAATGTTCTGCTAATGCTGAAGAAAATAAACTATTTTGTAATTGCAGCGTGCGTTTTGTGGGCTACAGTTTGTATGTGAAAAGAATTCAGAAAAGAAACAACCTGCAAACTACTGTTAGATTAGCTAATAGCAGCGGTAGCTAATCTACCACAACAATCACTTATTAATAAAACATTAAACCTAAAACATACCACTGCAACAGACTGAATGTTCTGTTCTTTGTGCAAAATATTTTAGTGTTTTTTGGTGTTGAATCCTGGAACACAGTGGTGTTGTTGACAGTTGCTATGGCAACGAGTCTGCGTGTAGCTTGGCCGACACAAAGGGCGGGAAAGAAATGCTTTCGAGTTGTACTTCCGTCTTTTCCTTTGCTATGGAGCATAGCGCGAAATGAATACCTGCATTTCCAAGTTTCATTGAATTAACAGAATTATTCTACCACAGCAGCGTTGCTATGGATGGCATGTAAAAGGATTGTCTTTTTGCCCTCCAGCGTTGTCTGCATGCGCGACATTTCCGTACGTAAATAATAACGTGTGGCGTCTATTTATAAATCGGACCAAGTCAGTGCCTCACCAGCTATGAATCTCACTGCACGTCACTGCGAGTTAGGCATCACATCGATACCAAAATTCACAGCATCATACAACCTTTTCAGCCAGTCAAAACCTTACAAAGCAGATCTGAAGTCGACCTAAATATTCTGATCAATGCATGTCCGATTATGTTACAACAGTTGTAGAAATTAGTACAGCTGTCCTCTAAACACACCCAAACGGTCCTACACATACTATTTATTTAAAGCTATGGACACATGGTACATTTTATGTGAAACCCAGCACTACTCTAGATGGATTTAGCTTTAATGCACCTTTTACTGTACACCTCTGCAGTAATACTAAGACAAATTGTGTATCTTAACCTAAAAATGGAAACAAATTGTGGGCTTTTTGTAGGTAAAAGTTTATACAAATTGAGTAAAGGCAGAGCGGAGCAGCTTTTACCGTTTTATTTTTGAAAACACATGGAGAGTGCCGCTAATGTGAGACCGCATCATGAAAATGGATCGAGTAGAAAAGGGTTTCTATGCCCACTTGCCCACGTCTGTGTTACGAGACCAGACAGAGGGTATTTTAAATAAATACAGGATGCCACAGAAATGTACACTTCCCTCTGGAGGATCGGGAGCCAGGACTGGATCTGCACACCTAAACACTATATTCATTATACCTTGGCTTCATAAAGTGATTACAGTAGAGCTTGATGATTGGGGGAGAGTTCGCTGCCAGGGAGAACTTTCCAAACAGAAAACGGTCACCCTTAATGGATTGCTCGCCAGGTTTTCCTGTTTTATCACTCTCAAACACCCAATTTCATTGTCAGTGTTGCTCTTTCCGCTAATATACTCGCTCTCTGTAAAAGTGTCAAGACGCACCCAAGAAGTTTTAAAGCTCAAAAAAAAAAAAAAGGGGGCTATTCAGAGGAAAAATCACCATGTAGATTTGCTTATAATGTTAGTTCTTGTTAATCTGTGATATTTTAGAGTGGTTCAGCAATTACTTTGTGATGAAGTGGCGTAATTTTGCTTTTTAGTGTAGACGCTTTCCATCCACCCGTCTCGTATGTTCCTGTTTAACTTTCATGCATCTGGATGACGGAGCGCCATTCGTTCAGCGTTGAATGAATGGAGGGCGTGCAGGGAAGTTGCACTTATTGCAGTCGTGTGGACAAACTACCAACATGACTGGGCTTTACCTCCCTAACACAAATGTGATATTTTACTGTTGACCCTCAGTTGTAAAAACAATAATTTTGTTCCAGGCTAAAGTAATTTGGTTTTTGTCTGAGTGCCTTTCAAGAAAAGCAGTCTGGAGTCGCAAAGGCTTGACGGCCAGCTTCACTAATGTTTAATGGAGATGGTGACGTCATAGCAACGATGGTGTACGGACAAAAGAACTTTGCTTTATAGTCTTCAAGCTTGAATGCAGATGAGCCTTCAATCCTATCCATCTCCCACATCATCCTACTGTCACTCATGAACAATCCAAGAGGGAGCCATCCACTTGCCTCAAAGGTACGAGTGGACTCCTCTTGCGTCTTTAGTCTAAACCACAATCCTCGAGAGCAACTATCCTGCAACTTTTAGATACATCGCTTCTTCAACACCAGAACCTAAACTGTGAACTACTGAAGTGTAAGCTGTAGGTCATGGCTTCAAAATGTCAACAAAAAAAACTATGTAATGCTTGAGATCTTGAAACTCTGGCATTTTAACAGAAAAATTAGTAAAAAAAAAAAAAAAAAAGGGGTCAACCTTTACGAGGCTAAACCCACACAGGGCGAAAGCTCGACTGTGTCTCTGGTAACTAAAAAGTTAGTTGCACTAATCCTAAAGCACTAATTACACACACTATTTCTGCTTCCGCTATAAAGCACTACACAAACATCACTTCAAAATCAGAGCATAAACATAAAGGTGTATTTGAAAAATTCCTAACAGTCAATAACCAAAACTTAAACACAAAGGTTGGCCTTTAAACTGTCAGCTGAAGATACAACCAAGTAAATTAACGCTTTAGACTTTAGAAAAATGTTATTAGTTAAAACTTCTAGACGTTTCCAAAGTTAGCAAATGCAAAGCAAAAAGTTAGGATATTAGCAAAAATGTACCAACCACTGAATTTGATTGCATAAAATGAATAAATTGTTTATTTTCAGGGCAGGTATATCTCCAATACCAGGTGTCATTGTCAAAGTTAGCAAAAGGGTGAAATAAAAAGTTAGCAGAAGTGTCCCCACCACTGGATTCGATTATGGCAATTTACTTTAAATCGTTTGTTGTCAGACTCATGCAGCAACTGTCCTGTGGCAAACAGCTAAATGTCGAACTTGAAAAAGGTAGGTCTGAAAGGACCAAAATGTCAAAGGTGTGAAACGGCAAATAAGTTAAATGAGAAGCAGCCTGACATAGCTTGTGTTCCTCTGCCAGTTGTGTATTAAGACAGTTCCAGATGTTAACTATAAAAGGTTTGCATGCGAGTTTTGTTTGCAAATTCCTTGTAGAATCTTCAAAATCCTAGCAAAGTTCTGGAAGCGACTAGTTCATTTGTTGTCTCCCAAAAAAAAAAAAAAAAAAAAGACATAAGTCTGGTGTCGAACTCACCTGACTGCCTCCCACTATGCAGACCTGCCACCACTCAACTGTTACTCCTGACCTAATCTTTCATGCATACACTAACACACCAATAAAGGTGCAGCTGTTTGTCTCGTGACAATAAAGAGCTTGTTGAGGGGAAACGTGATGGAGTGATGCCTGATGCACTCCCTTCTTTTAGCTTCACTGGTGTCAGGACTGGTTGGGATAAAGAGTCACAGAAGGAGATGGAAGTGAAACTTCACAATTTCATTTAGTTCTGGACTTTGACTGGGTCACCCTAGCACACAAATATGCTCTCTTTGTCGAGCTGGATGTATTTGTTGAGTTGCTGTCCTGCTGGAAGGTGAGCCACCAGCTGGTTTTCTTCTGGGATTATCCTGTCCAATTTTCCATCAAGTCTGAACAGAATCAGCTCAAAAAAATCCAGTCCTGCTGAATAAAATCTCCTCGACAGCATGACGCAGCCATCACCGTGACGATGGTGCGTTCTGGGAGTGTAGCGTTAGTTTTCATCCACGTATTCTGCCTCCATGTAGGGCAAAGTAACTAGTTTTGAAGCCCTGATTCTGTTGGGTGCTTCTTTTGTTGCCATGACAGCCGTTCATCTTGTGCAATAGATGCTGCACTTGCATTGCAGATGGACTTTTGCAGCTGTGTTATAAGGCGGTGACTGTCTTCCACAGGTGTCTCCCTCATAAAAAATGCATCAATGTCCATGCCTACTCACACACACACACACACACACACGCACACACACACACACACACACACACACACTCTCTTTTCCTCTGTTCATGGTTAAAATTATGAATAGACTCATTTGCGTGAGGGAGGAAGTAAACCATTAAGATTCAGTTTTTATACGATGTAGATTATAAGTAGTTTTATGTGGAATTTGCACATTTCAGCCAATGGGACTGAACGCTGCTGCCTCAGCCTTTTCCAAAAACCCATCCTCCCCCCTTCCTCTCGATTTTTCTAGAAAGAAACAAAAATTGTTTGCTGAAAAACGTTTTCAGCTTCCCTGTTTTTGCTCTGCGGTCTTCAAATCAAGCGTCTTTTTCGCTTTTTTTTTTCTTTCTTATTTTTATTTTATTTTCCTCAAGCCGCGTGCCAGACCTGTCGCCACCCGCCGGCCTGAATGCCTTCTTTCATGGGCCAAGTGAGCTGACCAGGGAGACTCTTTTTCACCGTTTAATATACTTTGCCTTCTATAATTTACTTTTCTAACATAAAAAAAATAAATAAAAGCATATACTGAACATTGCAAAGTATTCATAGCCTTTAAACTTTTTTTCTCCCAATTTTATGACATTAGAACCAGAAATATATGACTTGTTGACCAACAATTAAAGAAGTAAAGCTCCATCTACTGATCTACTGGTTGTGACAGATTAAGGTTGAGGAGATAATGACTTGATCAGAAACTGTGGCCGACAACTGCAAACATGCAGCAAGCAGGAAAACGAGCTGCAAACAGGTGAAACGGCACAGGAAAAGCTAAACTTAATTATCTTTCTACATTTTTTGTTTCATTTCATTGAAACCACAAAAAATGTTTCCAGCATAACTTCCAATTGTTCAATATTTTTTTTCTATCAAACTTTGAGTAGTGAGCAAGAATTACCCAAACATGCCTTGACTTTACTGATCCCAAAGGGAAATTAAATGTAGTTGTAGCTCATTAATTCAGATTCTTCAAAGAGTTATTGCAGATGGCTGATTGCTGTTGGCAGGGAAGATCTTTTGTAGCGGTCTGTATTTCAGCAAATCTGAAGAAACCTTTGACTGATGATACTCTGTTTTCTCCATACAGACTCATGAAGAGGATGGCCAGAGTTGTCCATAGCTTTTTTGACTCTTATGAAGAATCCTTCTTGGCATAATCTCCAGAGGTTCCACAGTCGTCTCCAGAACAGAACCAGAACAAATCCAGCCTTCTTCATCAGATTGTTGAGCCCTTTGAGGTTCCTGGCTCTGATGCTGCTGGACCAACAGATGATAGCAGAAGAGACGACCCTTTCAACAGCAGGCTTGTGGATCTGTAGCATCGTGCTGCAAACCTTGAAGGATATTAGCTTTCTTGAGAAGTGCAGTCTGCTCTGTCTCTTTATAGACGACTTCACTGTTGCGTCTCCAGTCCAGTCTGTTGTCAAGGTGACCACTGAGGTATTCATATTCCTGAACCACCTCCACATCTTCTCCCATGATGGAAATAGGGTTTGATCCAACCCTGTTTCTTCTGAAATCAACAACCATCTCCTTTGTTTTGTTTACAGTCAATATTAGATGATTGTTCCCACACCAGGCCACAAAGCGCTCCACCAGATCTCTGTACTCAGCCTCTTGTCTTTCTCTGATACACATAACTGCAGAGTCATCTGAGTATTTCTGTAGATGACAGAAGTTGGACTTGTGTTGGAAGTCTGAAGTGTAGAGAGTGAAAAGGAATGATGAGAGTACAGAGCCCTGTGGTACTCCTGTGTTACTGACCGCCTGGTTGGACACACAGTCCTTCAGTCTTACAACCTGTGGTCTGTTTGTCAGATAGTCACAGATGCAGGCGATTGTTGAAGCCTCCACCTGCGTCTTCTGGAGTTTCTAACAGAGCAAATCAGGCCTGCCTGCTTTGTCCAGATGACTGTGGGTTTGTTGAAGCAGGTGTCTGATGGCATCATCAACTCCAACTCCACAGCGATGAGCAAACTGCAGGGGGTCCTGATATGAGCTGCTTTCATCTGCTTTCTCAAGTGGGCCTCCAGGAGTCTCTCCAGGACCTTCATGATGTGGGATGTCAGGGCAACCGGTCTATAGTCGTTGATGACTGAAGGGTGATTTTTCTTTGGTACCAGAACCTGGCAGGATGTCTTCCACAACAACAGAACCTCCGCTTGGGTCAGGCTAAGGTTGAAGAGATGCTGCCGAATCCCACAGAGGCACTCTGGGACTGACACCATCTGGACCTGCAGCCTTGTTCCGGTTCAGCCTCTCCAGCTTCCTCTTCACTTCTAGATACAGAAAAGCTGGAGGTGGAGGCAAAGGGAGCAGCAGCGTTTCCTAATGTGGTTGAAGATTGAAGACAAACTTGTGGAAGCAGAAGAGTCCATGACTGAGGTGGAAGATGGAACATCTGAGGTTTGACAGGAACTTGGTCAGAGGAGGATCAGATATCCGTTTGGCTGGAGACAGGAGAGGATGATGAGCTTGTTCCTGGATGGAACCTGTTGGAGAATGTGTTCAGCTCATTTGCTCTGTCCAGAAACTAATATTGTTATTTTTATTTTTTAAAGTCATGATGGCATGTTTTATGTAATAATGTGTATGTAATGTTTGGAATGAAGAAGATATGCTGCATAATCTGATGTAATTGTGGCTCAGTGCAAAAACACACATTTTGTTGGCTTCTGAAGAGTAAAAATTGAACAAATGTATACACTTAAGGATTAAATTTATATTTCTCAGTCATCACAATGCCAAAGAAAATTCTCACAACAGTGTGAAAATCATGGTGTTTATTTACAAGACAAGAAGCGGGAGGAAGATATTAAAAAATGTAATAGATTTCACAGTGTCATAGGTTATTTCTATGTATTATGATGTAATGATACATGTATTTTTGGACTTATTGTATTCTGTTTTATACTTGTGTGTAACTTTCACTTGATTTATGAAAGCATGGAAAGTAATTAAGCTGATCGTAGAGTAAAATAATATTAAGTTGTGAGCAAATTCAATAAAAGCTTGTTTGGGCTTATCACATGCTATCCCAGTACATCACTATTTCAATACAAGGTGACAATGTGAAAATGTTCAAGGGGTATGAATGTCGTATAATCTTAATTTTACCAACTTTTAAACGTTCAGCTTTTCTTTGCATTTAAAATACTCCACACGTCTGATAAACTTGCAGACTCTTCCGGATCTTGCGTCTCTTTTTTCCCCCTCATCCGACGTTCCTTCCTCCTCTCTGTTTGTCGACCTCAGGTCAGGAGCCAAATTTATGGTTGCTGGTCTGTGGTGAGGCGCAAAAAAAAAAAAAAAAAAGGGCGTAGCATCCCTCCTCTCAAACCAGGTTTGGATTTCAAACGCATGCCAGCTCGGTCCAGTTGTAGGGAATGGCAGGAGTCGGACCACCTTGCCCCCCTATCTAAAAGCTCCGTCTGTTTACCGGACGAGGTTAGAGCGTGTGTGCATCTCGTGGGTGGTGAGTCCACCCACCACTTGACTTTTATATTTAATTTGGTTCTTGACGTTGGATGCTATTTCGATCATGGCCAATGAAGGGCGCTTTCCCGCTCTCTGACTTTTTAAGGTTTTCTTGACACCCGAGGGTGACATGCAGAGTCTGACCGTCTGGAGGTTTGCGGTGGGAAATGAAATGCGTCGCAGGACAGCAGAAGACAGGCACCATTTCTGTCTTTAAAAGCTTCGTCATGGGAGAGGCGGACTGGGGCTGGGAGGGTGAGGGGGATCTCCGCCTAGGTGGCCTGCGGATGGAAGCGTTGTGGTTAGTTGATTTGTCGTCCCAAATGTTTGCTAAAGCTTGCTGAAGGTGGAAGCAAAATTATTGCAATTTTTCATCGGGAAACACCAGTAATTGGCACAGCCGTGCTGCCAAACACCACAGAGGTTCCTTCAGATCCAGGCCTGGTGTGACTGTCGCCTTTGGAGTCCATAATTATGCAAATCGTAGTTAGAAGAGAGTCTCCGAGGGCGGCGGTTAAATCTGAGTTTAAATCAGCAACGCCCCATAAAAAGGAAGCATTCACAGCACCGATACTCCCCGTCAAAAGCATGAGGTGTCTTGGAAAGTGTTCACACCTCTTGGTCTTACCAATATTCTGTTAAGTCACATGCACAAACTCTAAAGCATTGTATGGGGATGGTTTATGGCGAAACAACAAAAGGCAAAGTGTTATTTTTTTTGTACAAAAATGTAAAAGAATCTTAGAGTGGCTTGAATTTCCTAAATTACAGCTACATGGTCTTTAGGGTTTGTTTGTCTCTACCAGTTTTACACATCAAAAGTCTGGAAACAAGATGAAAATCAGATAGGATGGAGACTTCTTAACCTGATTTAGATTTAGACATTGACTGAACCATTGTAATGTCCATTTAAACCTTTATTGAAAAAACACTGCAATAATAATAATAATAATAATAATAATAAAAGATGTTTTTTTTACATTAGTATGTAATGTATGCTCTTTGTAATGTCTCACCTGATGTCTGGTAAAGTTTGAGTATTTGGATTTTTAGGAAAAATATCTGTTCACTTATATGTTAAGCTGGAGGGTTTAAGGATTTTAATTGGCTGGTAGCCAATATTTGACAGGAAATGGGCAGAGAGATAGAAGGGGGGGCAAGACATGCAGCAACGGTCCCAGGTTCAGAAATTAAACTCTGGATGGCAGAGTCAAGCACTGACAGCCTGTCTATAAATTGCACCCGCTCTACGGCTACACCATGTGCCACCCCTAGGTTGTTGGCTTACTTGGATGTTTTGTGTTGTCACAGTTCAAAGAACAATAGTTTTGCAAACCTCTGTGCATGCCTTTTCCTTTCCTTCCCCTTCCTCCAAAATCTCTCCACTCTTCCTTTTCTGTCTCCTGGACAGGGCTGTAGCTGGCTAACATCTTAGGCTAAAGTCCTCCAGTCGCTGGGAAGTCTGCTAGAAACAGTGCCGGCTCTAACCCATACATCTCTGCCTGGTCGCCAGGCCAGGAAGAGTCACAGACCATTTAACTCACGTATTAATGACCAACAAGAACCCAGTGCCTCCAGAATGAGAGTATAGGAACCTACCAAAGTGTGTACAGAGGCCAAGCCAGAGGAGGCGCAGAGGTGCCAAGGCAAAGAGAAATGATGTGTGGGGAGGCGAGGCAGAATAAAAACAAAACACTGAAAACTGAAAAAAACAGATAAAGACTGAATGATTTTTTTTTTCTGTCTTAAAAAAAGTCATGTTTGGAGCAGAGTTTTGAGTTAAGGAAATAAACAAATGTCAGAAATTACATTCAGCAGTGATTCTCTGTCCAAATGGCCCCACAGAAAAGCAAAATAAAGATACCTCAAGATACTTTTCAAGTATGCAATATTCATGACTTGCAAAAGATGTGTGAATACCTCAGAAAATAAGCAAACTGAAAGCTACAACAGCTCATGTGAAGGTTAATGACAGGCTGTGTACAGTTCATCCATCGTATTAGTCAACTGTGACAATTACATTTTTTTTAAATTGAAATTAAAGCAGATTTACACTTCAGTGCAAAACAACATAAAATGTTCCCTCAATACCAACTTTAGCAAAGTAAAAAGTAAATAAGGTATGAGTATAGGGATAGCGTGGAAAAGTTTCAAATTGATACAATTCTCAGAATCTTCATACAGTTTAAAGGTCAGAGCTGCTGCACTTCCTCCCTCTGCTCCTACATACTGTTATAGTTAAGCCAAGGAGCTAAACGCTCATCATCTATCAGCTGTCAAAGGAGACGTCAGCATCTTACTCAGGTGTTGGAGGGATTTTACAGAATACGTTTGAAAGACACATAACTGTGATGTTGTGAGATTTCTGGTGGAGCCAGCTGCACATCATCTGAAAAAACAAACCATAATCCTCCTACCACTTCCTTTTGTCTTCTTTCATGTTTTTGCCAGTAGTAGCCTCCTGCTGGTGATCACATAACTCGTGCAATGCAAAAAAGGGGCTTCCATTGTGGTTTTGTGAAATACATCTATGTCGATACGGCTGACAAACCCCTGAAAAATGTGCTGCTTTTTTTTTAAGCCAATTTATTTTCGCTATTTCAATTTGTGCAATTTTGCAGTCAATGAAAACGAAGCAAGTGTGTGAAAAGTTCAGTTGGCAACAGTGGGGGAAAAATATGGGAGGTTTGTTGAAACAGTTTGGAGGGTCAGCTCCTCTCTGTGTCCAGCTGAGTCAGAGAGATGAAGGCACCTTTTAATCAGCCTCTCTCTGCTGGAACACTGACCTCTGACCTCTAGGCCAGACCACATGCTCCCCGCCGCCCCCCGCCCCCTGAGCAGTTCCACTGCTCAACAACAGACATAAAGGGCTGCTGGTTTGGCAGTGTTGAAGGGGTCACTGGGACCACTGGGGGCCATCAGAGGCCTGACGGCTCCCCACCGGACTGGGACGTCCCCTCAGGTGAATCCCAAACAAAGTAACTCAAACCTCTAGACATTTTGTCAGATTACAGCCATGAACGTTAATCCGTTTGCCTGGGATGTGATAGAGCGACACAAAGTAGAGCATAATTGTGAAGTGGACAGATCCATGGCTTTCACAGGTTTTTACAAATCAAAAGGAAGGAATAAATTGGTATTCACTTGTAAGTCTTGGGCTGTACATTTCTACCATCTTTACACATCTATAGGATGAAATTTATTGTTTCTTCTATGCAACATAATTTATGCTCAGAGAGATTGGATGAAGAGCATCCGTCAACGTCAATTTTCAAGTCTTGTATCATCTCATCAGGTGGATTTAGGTCTGGCTATACGAACACATGATTATGCTTTTTTGTAAAGTCGTTTCTCTTTGAGTCTTAGGATACATTCACAGCAGGTGAATGAAACCCAAATGCCAATGTTTTTGCCCATGTGACTTTTTCATGGCAGTCTGAATGGCCCAATTCTCATCTATTCACCCCATCAAAAAAATCTGATTTTCCCATTTATACTTTACTAAATTGCATACGTACCCGAAAGTTTTCAAAGCATCTGCAGTGAAAACTGTCGTGACGTGATTTACGTTTTACGTGATTGACAAGAGACAGGTGTCTAGAAGAAACCACATGGGCTAAACAACGGCTGGAAATTCTTATTCTAGAAATAAGAGCAGTCTGTGTCACTGAAATGGATCCCATCACAAACCCACCACTACACATCCAAACAAACGTCTCTGCAGAAGTTGGAGTCAATGCTCCCCAGAAGGCCATAACTATTAGTTGTGCTGTTTTTTTATTAGCTTCCTTTGTGTTATGATCTTGTAACAATACTGTTGGCTCCGAATAACTGAAATGGATCCATAGGCGGGGAGCATTCATTATTACTGTGGTAAACAGTGCTCTGCTGTGTGACTTCAATGCTTTGAGGTCGTATAGCATTCACACAGAAGTCTGATGGCAGTCGCATTCAATTTCTAGTATGAATGATCACGCTGAAGAAAAAAGATTGGAATTGAGCCTCAAGACCCGCGGCGTGAACGTACCCTCTGGATCAACTCCCTTTGTGTTCATCAGTCTCTCTCCTTTGGTTTCCATGGTTTCCTCCTGCCACATCTCCTTTATGTAGCTCATCTGGTCCTTCTGTCATTTTCTCAGGATTTCAGCTTCTGATTTTTCTTTGTCTGTTCTACTTGATGCCAGTTCCACTTTCTGTACAGTACCGTTTACTGTAAAAGTCTCTACTTCACCTTTCTGACTAAACGATTAAGCTGGTCTCTTTGGTCTTAAGTATTTACTGTAATTGTACTTCAATTACTGATCAACACAGAGACGGATTGAATCTACAATGAGACAACCTGTCAGGCCCTTTCTGAAATGTTACTGGAGCTGCTGCTGTGTAAGTGCAAACAGTGACACCAGCGTGCCGCACGTGACCCAGACACTTTAAATAATCACACACACACCTATGTGAATATGAAGGTGGGCCCACACGCAATCACAGCTTCCTGTTTCACCATCTGAGCCATGGCGCTGTGATGTCACTGATGAGGTCACCAGCAGCAGCAGCGCTCTGAGGCCACGTGGCCCCAGACAGCGATTATGACTTTTGTGGATCAACTCACAGTTGCAGCCACTCATGAGCAGGCACAGCGGCTCTCTGGGTCACCTTACAGAGCTCTCTCCATGAGTCTGAGAAATCTTCACAGCAGGTGTCCAGTCAGATCAGAACGCTTTGGGTGGAGAGTCGGGGGGTCAGGGAACTACTTCCACATGGCTTTAGTGGAAAAACTTGACAGACAGTATAATTAGAGCCAATTGTTTTGGCACACACACTTTTTTTTGTTTTGGCTGTGAGAGTTCAAATTATTCAATGTATTTTCATTAAGGCAGGTACTTGAATGCATTAATTTAAATTAATTTCAAGCAAATTTTAACAATCTATCTTTTTTTTTTAACATACAAAACTCCAGAGTAGGAACCTTTGCTGTGTGTTTCTGAGGATGAAGCTGCTTCTCTTGGTAAACTGGGGATTCATTTTTGCGTCAAACAATGATGTGATGAGACGCTGATGAAGGAAACTGTTGTGTTCAAGTTGTGCTAAAAGGAGTTAGCCCATCAGCGAAGCTATTCAAACCTAAAACAGCATCTCGATGCTGAACACTCATGTTGCAGCAGCATGGACGTCCCCACTGCTAATGTTAGCATCTACAGCTTTTCAAAGGTAGTTTTTTGGTTCTATCATTTTTTTCCATCTTTGTGTCCATCTTTCTTCCCTCATGTCCTTTATTTCTTGTTTTCTTCCTTCCTCTTCATTTTCCTTTTTCCTTCCTTCCGTTCTTCTTTTTTTCCTTCTCTTCGTTTTTCTCTCTCCTTCCTTATCTACGTACCTCATGTTTTTTCTTCCTTTGCATATTTCCATACTGAAAATCTGACAACTCCAGAAATATTTGCCATAAACTCACCATAAACTTTTTTTATTTAATATCTTAAGAACACCCATAGAGGACTATCGTCTTTGAGTCTGTAAAAAGTAAGAAAAGATTTGGATTTAGAGCAAAGCAGGTTCTGGAGACAAGCCAAGTTTTTCCTACCTCAAACAGTGGACCACCAGTACGCAAATATGTGGACTTCACATAACCCATTTACTCTCTCTATGGAGGCAGCTGGGTTGTGTGTGTGCGTGTAGTGGGGGGGGTGTGTGTGACATGTCCTCTGTGTGGCCGCGTGTTCCCAGCGGGGCCTCAAATGAAAATGACCTCTGAATGCAATCAGGCTCCGATCTGCAGTAATGGACTTTGTATTAGGCTGCCCCCTTGCCGTACCCTAATTACACACAGGAGGCTGCACGCTCCCACTCTATACCGCCCCTACTGTACAAGCATCCATGCATGTGAGTGTGTGTGTGTGTGTGTGTGCGCGTATGACATCATGGTCGATTGCAGATTAAACTTCTCAGGGAGCATAATGCGCTGTGGAAGCGGAACATGTTCACATGCACACAACGCGACCATAGAGTCATTTATCTGCCTTCATGCAGGTTCTACAAACACACTCAGTCATTTTCACGTATCAGTTATCGGATCATCTCTCTGCTCCTTCTATAAAGTTTCTTAGATGCTCTTTTGTATTTGTGTCCAAGAATTCTTTTTTTTTTTGTATATTTTCTGTTGTATGTTTATAGAAAAAAGATTTGCCATGTTTTCTGGTTCTAGCCGTGTGAGGAAAATGGTTATAGTGTACGTCTGGCAGCCGTCCCACTCAGGACATTTGACCTTGGGGGAAAGTTTTTTTTTTTTTCCTCCACTTTTTTTTTTTCGGCCCCTCTTTCCTTTTCCCCTCTCGCAGAGGCTAAAAGGCTCAAAAGGGTGGAAAGCTAAATATTTTCTTTAGTCTCCTGGACGCCAGGTTGCCTAAAAGGTTCCAAAGCCGTTTGCATCAAACCTCGACCGTCAAAACCACAAATTCTGTTTTTGTAGCCATAAAACTCCCCCCACCAAAAAGAGGAGGCAAAAAAAAAAAAAAACAGATTTCCATTCAGTTGATTCTTATAAATTCAATAAAAAGAAAACTGGTGTACACCTCATGGGAAACACGATGTTACATACATGTTTCAGTGGCTCTGCTAGTGAATGCTCTCATTCTCGTAACACTTATCTTTAGTGAAATATCACTCGGAGAGATTTGGAGTTGCAGTTTTAACCAGTTTCTCAGAAGTGAAATTAACACATCAGCACTGAAAGTCACTTTACAAAGTTTCTGAATGGGCCAGTAGATTAACAATTAGAGCCAGAGTTGGGTTTTCTGTATTGTTTTTTTATTTTAATAGAAGAAATGATCATTTTAGGTCTGCCTCAGAGAATCTATAACAGAAGATCAAGACATGTCAAGAAACATGCAGTCCTGGTCACCAGCACTTTTACCAATCCGTGTGCAGTTGGATCATATTCACAGAAAACTGCAAACGCTAAGTTGAGGAGAGGTCTGTCACTTTAAAGTCTGATGGACAACAGATTGTCCCAGGAATTACTGCGACAGACATTTTCAGACCATTATTAAGGAATAATGGAATAATAATAATCATATCAGCTAGTTTTTCCTCTCAAACACTAAAACTTTAATTTTGTAAAGAACACTCCACTAGAAACTGGAAAACATTCTAAATAAAACCACCAAAAACAATAAAGCAGGAATAAAAAGCATAAAAAAGAACCCACATACAACCAAAACCATAAATAAAATGAATTATGATGGTTCTGTAAACAAAATTGCTCTTAAAAAATATTAACCATCATAACACATATTATCGAGCTCATTTTAATTTATCATGCGATTAACCGACTAATTGTTTACAGGTTTAGTCGAGGCCACATAACATTATTCCGAATCCCACAGGAGGAAATTTTATCGGAGTAAAAACAGACGACAGCGGCTGATGTAGGACTCTAGAAACTTCTGGATGATTCTGGTATTTCCTGATTGATCAATATTACAAACGACACCAGGCCTCGTGGATCTGTGCGCAGACCTGGGTGAGACGCAATGCAGAAAGCACATACGTTGCGTGGCATGATGCATCACACACGCGTGTCTCCAGCAGTGACGTGTTTACAGAAGGACCACACGTAAGTGAAGGACTCCTGCCAAAGCTGTTAAATATCCAGCTACAAGTGTGTCAACAGGCGCACGCGCACATATTCGCACGCAGCACGGAAAGCCACAGAAATGTACCTGGCAGTGTGCTATATTTTGCTGTAAGTGCCTCTCCCACCCATATAGTTTGTGTTTGTCAATATAAACTATTTGGGCAAACATTCGCTGAGGTCGGCCGAGCTGTCACTGCCCTCTGACTCACGGCCTCCAGGTATGCGCTGTGGTGGTAACCGGCGCTGCTCGTTGGAGGACGTCCACGGCCTTTCAAATAAGGTGAGTCCGGCAAAATAAACACTTTTTGCACTTTAAACATTTTTTTGAACAAGGATATGGCTTTTCCTTTAACGTGAGCCGGGATCGTGTTGCGTTCAATTTATCATTATTTCTAAACACTCGAAATATCATACGTCGGGTTTGTTGGATTTATTTATTAAGGGGTCACTGAGGTGTGAAATTCAGAGCAGTTTCCCTCATAATAGTAGCAGCTGCATGTTCCAATGTCTTCCCTCAAACTTACTGTACATTTCTATACGTAGTGTGTTTAAAAAAAAATCTATAAAATATGAACAAATGGGTAACATTTAGTGTTGATCTGCAGAGAGGAAGAGAAAGAATGGTCACCTTCCTAAAATAATGGTCTGTTATTTTTTGCCAAAAGTGATTTTGGAAACTATTACTGCAGTATTACAGGCTGATCTCCAGCCTTCAGGAAAATGATGGAAAAAGCTGCATTTCTAAAGTCAAATAGTGTCTTAAGAATGACCTGCTACTCTGATGTCTTTCAGTCTGGTTTCTGTGCTCACCACGGTACTGAGGCTGGCCTAGTCAAAGTGTTCAGTGGCATCCACATAAATACAGACTGTGGAAGAACCACAGAGCTGGTTCTATCGGACCTCAGAGCAGCTGACAATTTTGACCTTGACATATTACTGAAACAACTGGAGAGTTGGGTCAGACTGTCTGGTCCAGAACTCAACTGGTTCGAATCTCACATAAAGAACAGGGATTTCTTTTTTTCAATACTTAACTTGTCACAGTATACATACGTCATATGTGGAGTACCCCAAGGGTCAGTCCTGGAACCCTTTCTGTCTAATATCTATAAAGACTAATGAGATTAGATATCATAACTATGCAGATGATACGCAGCTCCACATTACGATATCACCAGGTGACTCTAAACACATCCAATCAGAACAGATCAACCCATGGATGTGCCAAAACTTTCTCCAGCTGAACAGAAACAAAACTCAAGTTAACTTTTTTGAACCAAAATAGGAAACATCTACATTCAACGCACAACTTCAGTTACTACAACTTCAAACTAGAGCTCAGGTCCAAAATCTAGGTGTAGTGATGAACTTTCAGAGCTACATAGAGACAGTTACAAAATCAGCCTTCTATCACCTGAAGAACAGCTGCAGCTGATGCAGGAAGACAGAGCACATCAACTCCCGCTGGCTCAGATAACAGACTTTAAAATTCTTTGTTTATAAATCATTGAGTGGCTTTGCACCAAAATAAATTAAAGATATTTCACATCAACCTTCCAGACCACTCAGGTCTTCTGGTTCTAGTCTGCTCTACATCCCCAGAACCAAACATGGAGAAGCAGCGGCCCTTTAGTCAACTGAGCCTTGTAGGCAAATGTTTATGCACAGCTCTGTTAAGGGTTTGAAGCACAGCACTGCAATCAGTTCAAGGTCTAGCCTTTTTCCACTTGTGTGGTAGGTAACTACCACATTCTGCTGCCGATTTGCTGCTGTTCCTGGGAACTTTTGACCAAATCTAGACCAGATTCAGCTGTTTGACAGACGGCTCCGGCCCTGACGTCTGAACGTTTTGTTACTCAGACGTGTCCGTGGTTCACTTTCTAAACACAAGGCGTTGGTGCAGGACCAAAAAGCTTCACTTTAGTTTTGAGAAGATAAAGTGTTGGAGAAGGGCTGTCAGTAGATAAATCAGGTTTCAGAAAGTAACTCCTTGATCATTTCTTCTCGTTAAATAGACCAAAAATCCCACAGAACTCTGTGGCACATTTATTGCACCTAGATGATCCTTGTGTTGAAGTAGAAAAATGACCCAGAAGGGGGGGCAGATGCCTATAGAAGGGTATGAATACTTTTCTAAGAGCCAATTTAAGAGGACAGGACTTTGACAGATAACTGGCCATATTATGTCTCTGCCCTACACCAGCAGGTGCAGAGAGAAGATGGATCCCTCTGTGCATATTGTCCTTAATGTACAGACAACGTAAATCGATAATGAAGTGTGTCAATGGAGTATTCATTTAAAACACCCACCAGTCATGTCATATGTGAATTATGCCATCTAAGTGGGTGTGGACCATATGTGATGCATAGGGCCGCAACGCCAAAATGATGGCAAAAAAATGAATTGTAGTTATTTTCTGAATTTAAATGCCGTTTGTGCTGATTAGGCGCTCCTCCACTTCTTCCCCTCCTGTCGCTCCCTTAAACACACACACTGAAGGTGCTAAATCTGCGCATCCCTTTGAGAACACACCAGATCGCCATTTTTTTCATTTGAATCATGTCGTTATCTGATAACATGAGGAGTGTGCTGACATGTGATGCTCCTAATAAAAGTCCAGAGAAGAATCAAGTAGACGCCTGAGATGAAAAGCTCAGTTTTCCAAGTGTTGGTCACTATAAGACCAACTGCTTCAGGAACATTTACTGGGAATTCAACTATGCCCCATTGTCATCACTGCACTTAATATGCTAAGATAAACACTCTAATATTTCCTGAGCCGCCGATGATAAAAGCATGTCTCCATGGCAGAGCACACCACGACCTGGCGTCAACTCTGACCCCTGACCTCTCTGTCTGTCGTCACCCAGCGGACTTCGAAATGAAGAGGAACGATGTGGACCGGCGGGAGAGCAGGGTGGGTGTCATGTCCATGTGTTGACAATGATGGATCGTCAGTCGGGCAGCTGCTGTTGTAGCTACACCCACCTGTGTGACGACCAGAAATAACGAGCCGCTACGTTATTCTGATTTCTGAATTAAGCACCTTCTCGTTCTGGTGTTTGTGTTCAAATTTAAAAGCCCCAAGAACTGCCTTTCAAAGGACTAGCAGTCCAGTGTTATTAATAACAGCTACTTTAAGAGACCTGGGATTTTGTTCTACTTCCATGATGAATCCTGTTCACCACGGACATCAACAGCTTACATACTGACACTGACCTATCGGAAAGCATTCATTCGTATTAAAAAGATATTTTATAAATATTCTGACAGATAGTGATCAGAAAAGACACTGCTCCAACTTCTGGAGATTCATTTGAGAAACGATTCTGAATGTAACAGCAAATTCTTACCTCCAAATCAAAGGCACAACCACCAGGAAGAAATGTACTCCTGCCGATGTGGATTTTTTTATGGCACAATGGGATACAGAGGCACTAAATAAATGTATTAAAAGGCCTGTTTATTAGTATAAACAGGCTTTTCAAACCTATTTAATACCACATAACATCAGTAAACACAAAATGTTATTTTCCAATCAGGAATTATTTTAGCAATGAAAAAACATTATGTAAATGTGTCTGAAAAACTAATTTCCCCCTAAACATAATAACTGGCAGAAGCTTATCAAAGGTTTGCATTAACTTGCATGAATGAGTCCTTCACTTTTAAATGAGCTGCATTTTTGACAGCACTGTTCACTTCTAGTCTCGATATGAAGAATCCCTTTCCTTTTGCTACCAGGTTTGATGACTTTTTATCATGTGGCAGAATAAAGTTTGTTTTTCCTACCAGAGACCCATAAGAGAATTTTTACCTCTGTGGTGTCGATGATGACCTGCCCTCTGTCTCTACAGGGTTTAATCTAATTTAAAGCTTGTTTACTTTCGAGAGTCTGCTGTGAAAGATGAAAAAACTCAAAATGTCAAATATGCCAACTAAATGAGTAATGTAAATAGTCGAGACACTTTTTAATAATCTTGTCTTGTGCAAAAATCACCGGCATGCAAAGCCAAATAACCAAGCTGCATGATTCCTATTGGCACACAGAGCATCTTCATCTAACTGACCTGTATGTGGCAAGTTAAACTCAACTAGTTGGATACATTTTGTGTTTTCCATCCAAACTGTTACTTTCAGCGTGTGCTTTAATTTCAAAGCCAGTTCTTAAAAGAACATATTTTGCACTGATTAATTTAACTTTTTGCTCAATGTCATGGTCAGCCGTGTTCACTAAGAAACTAAGAAAAAAAGAAGAAACAATCACTTTGGTCATATAAACTGTGTTGTCATTGTGTAAATTGGAAATGCAAAAATAAAGTTGCCTAAAGGAAACACGACAAAAATGATTTTTTTGTATAAAAAGTTATTATGCTAGGATGAAATGTTTTTCCAGTCTTTTAAAAACAAACATGGAATATAATTTTTTTTTAAATCCCAATCAGCTAATTACTTCATCAAAAGTTCATATTATAACAAAATTATGAACCATAAACTATGACTAGTGATTTTTTTCAACACAGTGAAAATGTAGTTAGCTTCAGCATTAGCTGTTAACTTAGCTTAGCCTGTCTATTAGCTCAACAGTTTCTCTCACCATGACGCTTCTAGTGTTCAGCACTGAGAGGGGATTTGGTCCACTTCATCCGCACCCATACCGACCTATAACATTTGAAGTTCAGCCATTACATTTTTCATTAGCTGCTAATGAAACGGTTAGCTTGACAGTTGTCCCATTTTGACCTACTGTGACAGTACCAAGACTTAACATATCCACCAACAGGTTGGTTCTGCTCCTCTGGTCTTCACGCAGCTTTACGGAGCAGACACCAGCTCAATTTGTCTAGTTTTCAGTTTTTTTTGTTTTGTTTTTTGTTTCAACAATTAGCTTTCCAGTTAGTAACTGTCCCCCATGCATTACTCTGTGTCTTTGGAGGCAAAGGGCCCAGAACAGCAGTGGGCGGGGCTTGTAGTTTAGGTCCATTACTCTCCTCTAGGCTCCCTAACTTACTTTATAAAGCGAATGATGTCAGAGAATTAGTAATATATATTTATCCAAAAAGCTAAACTGAAATGGAATTTATGCTACAACGAAAGTTAGCAAGTTTTTATAACTTCTATTTTATATTAATAAATTTTTTCCACAAATTACATCAAGATATAACTTTTGTTTTAATAGCATTAACTTAGTTTTAGTATGACTTCTGTTGTGGCTTTCACATTTTTTAACCCATCTTGGCCACCACATCGATTTAATTCATCTATAGTTTGACCAATAAGTACTGTGAGTGGTATTCATAAAATTGTAAATTACCGTATTAATGGTACAGCCATGTGTAAACCCATTTTAGCATACGCAGAAATAGCAGAAATTAGATTTTTAAAAAAAATCTGAATACCACATTAATGTGAAATGCTTAGTTTCACATTAATCCACTATTAAACTGTGCCAACGTCATTCTAGCGTTTTCCTTACCTTCACAATAACATTAACAAATTTACCTACACCAAACAAACACACGCAACTGTACGTGTTTTTGTGTATCTCTGTGTGTGTGTGGACTCAGCTGGATTTAAACTACATGACCTTTCACTGCCCTGTTTCCTGCTGTAACCATACCTCAACCTGAATCCACCAGTCGCCTCCTCCCATTACCATAAAGCAACACAGCAAGCACAATTAAAGATAATTTAAGACTTAAGCAATTAAGGTCACATCTTCCCTGGAAACGTGCCCCCGCGGCGGTCCTGGTGTCTGTCTTGCACAGGGTGAACTTGGACAGGTTTGCAAGTTTATGATTGTGCGTATGCAGTACGCCTCTGTAATTGCAGCTCAGGCGCACGGGGTCAGCCAGGGCCTGCATGGCTCTGTTTTTGGATGAATTGCCCAGGAGGAGATTAGGACAAAACGGCATGCTCTGTGCCTACTTGCGCTCCGGTTACAATTAGGTAAACACGAGCGCACGCGGCGATAAAAGCACAGAAATCGACACGTTCTTTTAAAAAAACAAATAAATAAAAAATAAGATCATGCCGTTTCCAAGCACACATGGTATAAATAATCCCGTCTTCGTGCAGACCACCAGCAGAACGGATTAACAAGTACAGGCCACCGAGAGGTTCAGTTTTAAAGGCCTGAACTTCGGCTGATGTTATATCAACACAATTTTATTGAGTGGGAATCAAGTGGGATTTTCTGGAGGAGGAGGACTGTTAGAACACCTTCGGTCTGCAGCTTGGAAACAGTCTGCACTCCGGTGCCCCTAAACTTGGTCCCATACACTGTCAGGAGCTTTTAACTTCCAACTGAGCGCTATCTGCTAACGTTCCCTGTATCTTACAAACACGTGAAGCACACCCCTTACTGCTGAGTCAGGATATTGAGGCAGCCATGGAGGACAGAGTCTTCCTGGGTGGTCCCTGCAGCCCTACAGGCACCAGGAGTGCCACCATAAGCATTTTGGTCAAACAAGACATGTGATTTTGTGTGTGTGTGTGTGCGCGCGTGTGTGTGTAGACATGGACCAATTTGAAAGATACCAAGGCTTTTAAAAATTTCACGGTTTCAGAAGAAACAAAAATTTTCCACCACACCACTCCTCTAGTTTAAAGCCAATTCAGTGAGATACAGAAAGGAGCCAGAGTATCCAGAAATTTGTTCCTTCTCTACATACTTTTCCTGATCTTGCAAAATTAAATCATCAGTATGTTTCTAGTGAGGGAGGATACGAGATGCGTGCCAGAAAGAGTGGAATAGAGATTAGAATACATGCAGGACAGAATGCATGTGTGCCAGTGAGAGGGGAACAAGTGGAACAGGGAGGAGAGGCAAAGGAGGTAGAAGACGATGTACTTAGGGTCAACCGTCCAGAGCAATGGAGAGAGTGAAAAAGAGGTGAAGAAGCATAGAGACAAGTTGGAAGAAAAGTGCCGGGTGTGATGAAAGAGTATTGAGAAGAATGAAAGGGAAGGTTGTACAAGGTAGTGGTGAGACCAGCCATGTTGACTGATTCAGTGGCATTGAGGAAGAGAAAGGAAACGGAACTGGAGGTTGCGTGGCTCTAGATGTTGAGGTTCTTTCTTTGAGTGACGAGTGTGTGTAGAATCATGAACGAGTTCATCAGAGGGATGGCATACAAAACAGTTTGATTTGATTGCCGTTTGCTGCAGAGCAGCTTCCTATGTGAGTCAGTGGGTCACAGAGTACCAGGTCCTAGAAATTGGCTTTTGTGCGAATTTTGTCCAACGGACATCCGCTTTGAGTCTGTTGGACCTCTGAGAAGTTGAAGTATCCTCGAGTATGCTCAGGGCAATATGAAACTGCTATCATGGACGTTATTTAGCAAGTTGAAGCTAGCTAACCAAAGAATGAAGGAGTTAGTTGATGCTACCAACATTGCCTAACGGGGCCGTGATAGGTTTAGTGGCTAAGACCTTTCCTCAGAGAGAATGCTCTTTGGCTCTGGACTGAAGGTCAGTGAAATAAATCAACATTCTATTGGATGTATTTTGTACTGATACTGATCATGTGTCTATTGCGACAGGTATCGTTGTTTTATTGCCCATCGTTAGTGGAGGATGCAAATGATAGCGACAAATGATTCGCTATGGTAAAATCTGAAGGGAAAAGTTGAAAGATAAGAAGAAGGCTTAAAT